TAACTTTGTTACCATTCCTTCTATTTCTAACTATCCCACAAGTGCAGAAAGTATGACCGACGAGGTTGTCGAGCAGGGGGAGCAACCTGATAAGGTTATTGAGCAGGGGGAGCAACTTGATGATGATGTCAAACAAGTGGAGTACCCCACTCAGGGAGAAGAACAACCTCAACCTCTAAGGAGATCAGAAAGGCCAAGGGTAGAGTATCGTAGGTAACCCTTCCCACATAATATGTCCTCATCAGTGATGAGGGGGAGCCAAAAAGTCTTAAGGAGGTGTTGTCCCATCCAGAAAAGAACCAGTGGATGAAAGCCATGCAAGAAGAGATTAAATCTCTACAAAAAAATGGCACGCACAAGTTGGTTGAACTTCCCAAGGGTAAAAGACCACTCAAATGCAAGTGGGTCTTTAAACTCAAAAAAGATGGAAATGGCAAGCTGGTCAGATACAAAGCTCGATTGGTGGTTAAAGGCTTCGAACAGAAGAAAGGTATTGATTTTGATGAAACTTTCTCACTTGTTGTCAAAATAACTTATATTCAAATAATTTTAAGCTTAGCAGCTATCCTAGATCTTGAAGTGGAGCAGTTGGACGTGAAAACTGCATTTCTTCACAGAGATTTGGAAGAAGAGATTTGCATGGAGCAGCTAGTAGGATTTGAAGTAGCTGGAAAGAAACACATGGTGTGTAAATTGAATAAGAGTCTTTATGGGTTGAAGTAGGTACCAAGGCAATGATACATGAAGTTTGACTCATTCATAAAAAATCAAACATATATAAAGACCTATTCCGATCCATGTGTATACTTTAAAAGATTTTTTGATAATAATTTTATTATATTATTGTTGTATGTGGATGCCATGTTGATTGTAGGATAAGACAAGGAGCTGATTGCAAAATTGAAGAGAGATATGTCCAAGTCATTTGATATGAAGGACTTGGACCCAGCACAACAAATTCTAGGGATGAAGATAGTTTGAGAGCGAACAAGCAGAAAGTTGTGGCTATTTCAGGAGAAGTACATTGAACGTGTACTGGAACGCTTCAACAAGAAAAGTGCTAAACCAGTCAGCACACCTCTTGCTGGTCATCTAAAATTGAGCAAGAATATATGTCCTATAACAATTGAGGAGAAAGAGAACATGGCTAGATTTCCTTGTTCTTCAGTAGTCGGAAGCTTGATATACGCAATGGTATGCAATAGACCAGATATTTCTCATGTCGTTGGTGTTGTTAGCAGGTTCCTTGAAAATCCTGGAAAAGAATACTAGAAGTAGTCAAGTGGATACTCAGGTACCTCAAAGGTACCTCTGAAGACTGTTTGTGTTTTGGAGTATCTAATCCAATCTTGAAGGGTTACATGGATGCTGGTATGGAAGGTGATATTGATAAACGTAAATCTACCACTGAATACTTGTTCACATTTTCAGGAGGAGCTATATCATGGCAGTCGAAGTTGCAGAAGTGTATCGCACTCTCTACAACTGAAGCAGATTATATTGTCGCTACTGAAGCTGGCAAGGAGATAGAATGGCTGAAACTTATCCTTCGAGAGCTTGGATTGCATCAAAAGGAGTATGTAGTCTATTATGACAGTCAAAGTGCAATAGACCTGAGCAAAAACACCATGTATCATGCAAGGACGAAGTATATCGACGTGAGATATTACTGGATTCGAGAAAAGATAGAGGATGGATCTATGCAGGTCAAGAAGATCGATACAAGTGAGAATCCTTCAGATATGCTGATCAAGGTGGTACCAAGAGACAAGTTTGAGCTATGCAAAGAACTTTTTGGCATGCACTCAAACTAGCAACCCCAGTGTTACCTCCTTCAGGTGATAATACTAGAGGGGAAAATTTGTAGGGTCCATCCTATTCAACAATAGGCACGTGCCTATGAAATAAAACTTGGCTAACAACTCTTTCTTGGAGCCAAACCTGTAGCATTCTTGGAGGCTACGTATTTTGCTCCTATAAAAGGAGGATCTCTCTCACTTCTTCAAACACACCAACAAAGAGAGAAAGAAAGAGTGAGGCATCACAAACTGGGTATATGAAAATAGTCTGTGAGAAAAATAGAGAGTGTGAGCGATATTATAGTGAGATGGAATATCAAAAGAGGGTTATTTCTTTTAAGTGTTGTAGTGGTCTTTGGTGTATTTTACTCGGATCTACAAAGTATAAAATTCCTTGCTATAGTGATGTCAGTTGCTCCTCTCAGGGTCGTGGGTTTTTTCCTTATTCATAAGGGTTTTCCACGTAAGAACCTTAGTGTCGTTGTCACTCTTTTATTATTATTGATTATCATATCTCAGTGCTACGTTATTATTCCACTTTTATTACTGTGAATATTATTTCTGTGGGGGTTTATTCCCAACAATCACTCCCAGAAATTCAAGGAAAAACCGCTAATCAATGCAAAAGAAGAGGTGCAAAGTATACATTGCAACAAGTTATGTACAACATATTAGTAT